AACTTTACAAAGTTTATTTTTCTAGTTTTACTTTACGTAATAAAATATTTCAAAGTATTTAGCAATAAAAGACAATGTGCTAAACTTCTAAAGATATATTTAAGGTTTCTTCCAATGAGTATAATTATTCCAAATTCACCTACTTGGAGGCTATCTGGTAATCTCTTGGGCTACTCTTTATCAATGAAGACTGGAATTGACCATCTCATTATAACATTTCCAGTGCTGAAAGAGCAAGCATATTCGGTGACAGGATTCAATCGCACGACCCACAGATTGTGAGTTGAGTGCCGTTAATCACTAGGCCATACCAGCCCTCACCTTTGTAATATAACACAACACCTTAACTTCTAATAATATAACCACAGATTGTGAGTTGAGTGCCGTTAATCACCAGGCCATACCAGCCCCCAACTTTCTAATAAAACACACAAAACACCTTAACTTCTAAGAATATATTTTGTAATTTATTTCAATGTTTTTCTGCTTGTTTAAGTGTAAAGGTGAACAATATATGTTTATATTTTATATATAAAATATAAATTTTACTTAATATGTAATCTATTTAACGGATTTTATCTTTGACTTTTTTGTTCTTGACAACTAATTTCCCAACTGAACTGTGATTGATAAGTAGATATAATTATAATGTTACAAAAAAACTGAATTCAAAAATAAATCTTATACAGGCTTTTTATGTGATCATAAAATACAAACGATTGAATATATTATATTAAAACTATTTTGAACATGCAACTCAGCAAGTCACGTTACAACCACAACCGATATAAAGTCGTGGTGGAATAGAATGTATCAGAACTACATGTTAACATTCTTTGGCAGTCATAGGTAGAACGATATGACCAAAAATTAGTCATTTCTGAAAAAATGTATATAACAACCCTTTCCTACACAAACTATTCATACAGTCAGATTATAGAGGTATGTCCAGATTGGGAATTTCTAAGATAGGGATATCCCTTGTACTTAATGGCATTGGAAAACAAAAGAATATGAATCAACTTAGGGTCAGGACCATCCAGAAATAGACCTGTAACAAGTCATACCCCTCGTTCTAAACCTTAAATGAAGGGCCGGAGCAGTCTATGTATAACCCAGTCGTCACGTGACCTTGACCTCAACACTACTAAACGCTCTCTATCTTGTTTAAAAATAAATAAAGGTGTCACAATTTTTTGCTTATTAACAAACAGCATGAAGTTTTAGAATGACCAGCTATAAAAGACTGTATTTCATTAGGACATATCCACATAGGCTCCAACACGTTTTTCTTTTATCATAACCCATCTATTAACACACTTAAACTTTACCCTTCTTTCAAATTAACCTTTCATGTATTTGGTAATCCTCAAAGAGGGTCTTACGTTTGTTTATTTTTCTAAGTATAAACAGTAATACATGTGGATAGAGAGAGAGGGGGGAGATTTCAGTTGAATTATTCTTGTTTATGTCACTGTTTAATCTTCTAAGAATTGTATATCATCCGGATATTGCTAAAACATGTAATCCACATTATCACGTTAAAATAACACGTAAAGCTGTTCAGTGGAACTGTGTCTGCAAAACAATTTCAGAGAGAAACTTGTGAAGTAACCAGCGACACTACTCAGCGCTCCTCAAC